CTGATTTCTTTGTTCCATATAATTTTCTGTGCTGAGATCATTTTGTTTATAAATCATGTTATCACTTCCTTCATTGCTATTGTTTTAATATTTGCTAAATATTTGTGCTAGTCCTTTTTTTAAAAATTTTCATGTGAAGGTTTCTCATTTTTCTTTGAGGTACCTTGTGATTTATAATTTTCTTCCCAAATTTATAACAGTCCATTCTATTTTGCAGTTTTCTTGACTCCCCTACCATTTAGAAGTTCTGTAACTACACAGGTTTTTCCCTCTTTTTGGTTTGTAGTCCTCATTTGTTAATTGGTATCTGTGGTTCCCTGTTTACAATCTTGTAGGCTTATTTACTTTGAATACTTCTATAGCTGGGTTGGTTTCTGGGTTATGTCATCATGTGTGTTAATGGTCAGTTGTTGTTTGCTGGTGTTGGTTCTCTGTTCAAACGACACCCTTTAGCATCTCTGGAAAGGTTGGTCTGGTTTTAACAAATTCCCTTAATTTCTGATTATCTGGAAATGTCCTATTTCATCATCATATTTGAGGGACGTTTTGCTGGAAATATAATTCTTGGTTGGAAATTTTTCTCTTTCAGGGTTTTATATATACCATCCCATTGTCTTCTTGCCTGCGTGGTTTCTGCTGAGAAATCCAAACTTAGTCTTATTAGTTGCCCCTTGTAGGTAACTTTTCTTTTTCCCCATGCTGCTTTCAGTATTCTTTCTTTGTCTTTGGTTTTGGTGAGCTTCATGGTGATGTGTCTTGATGATTTTCTTTTGGGGTCTATCCTATTTGGGGTTTACTGGACTTCCTGAATGGATATATTCTCATCTTCCATCATACCAGGGAAATTCTCTTACAACAAATCTTCAACAATTTTCTCAGTGATTTTCTTTTTCTCTTCCTGTTATGGAATTCTGAATACATGTAGGTTATTCCTCCTGATGGTATCCCACATGAACCTTAGGCTTTCTTCATTTTGTTTTGATCTTTTCTCTGACTGATTCCTTGCCAAAGAAATATTGAGGTATTTGTCTTCCATTTCACTAATTCTGTCTTCCATTGATTCAATTTGACTCCTCTGTCCATTCAATGTATTATCTATTACTGAAAATTTAGTATTTATCTTCTGGATATCTATCTGTAGATTTTGTATCATTTCTAATTTTTCATTTATTTTGTCATTTTGTTCTTGTATTGTCTTTCAAAATTGTTTTAGGGTTTTCTCTATGTTTTCCTCATTTTTTTCAATGTTTTCCTTGATCTGTCTCTCAATCTGTTGAAGGTACTTAAATGTAGTTCTTTTGAATTCCTTATCAGGGAATTCTAATGCTGCTGCTTCTTTAAGGATGTGTTTTGGATCTATATCCTGGTCCTTTATTTCTCCTGCTTTATATTGCTTCTTTTTGTGGACTGTGATAGTCTGTTGTCTCTGAGACATTGTGATGTTTTTGTGTTTATATTTAATTTATATTTAAATGCTGGAGTGACTTGCCCATTATTTTTTTTCTTCATTTTGTTTGTATGTTATCTATGTAAGCAAGGTACTGTGCTACTCTATTCGCTAGTTGGCAGTACTTATACACTCATCACCAGTCTCTTTTTCCATTGTCAACCTCCCATATGTCCCTGTCATCCTTGACAAATGGAGCTTATTCTTAGGTCCTGTTTTCATTCATATTTTTCCACTAGTTGGTACCTAATCCACTTCTGTATACTTTCTTTCAAAGCTCAGGGCTCCAGGATTATCTTCTGTATCTCTGTCAACTGGTTTCTCTTTTCTTTGTTGAAGCAGGACTGTGTAGCTTGTCTGCCTATTCTGCCATCTTCTGGTCAACTGATTTTTGACAAGGGAACTGAATCCATTCAAAGGGGGAAGGAACTCTTTCTTCAACAAATGGTGCTGGCAAAGCTGGATTTCCATGTGCAGAAATATGACAAATATATGCCACACAGTACACAAAAATTTTCATATTTTTTGCAAATAATGCACTCATAAATAATACACATATGCATATAACACAAAGAGTATGCATAGGTACTAACACACAAGTGGAATGTGCAGATTGCAAAACCTGTATGATGGCACATCACATTATTTGTATGAAAATGTGATAATTCAATGACACTTCAATAGATCAGGACCTTAATGTTAAATCTAAAGCCATAAAGTTCTTGGAAGAAAATATAGAAGCAAAGTTTGGGAGCCTGGTTTTTTTCAGTGATAAGTTATCAAGCACAAAAATGAATGCATGAGCAACAGAAAACAAAATAGGTAACTGGAACCTGGTAAAAGTTAAATACTTGTGTTCATCAAAAGACTTTATCAAAAGAGTAAAGGACAACCTACAGACCAGGACAAAATATTTGGGAATTATATAATTGCTGCATCTAATATCTAAAATATATACAACACATCTACAACTTAACAGCAAAAAGACAACCAAATCAAAAACTGGGCAAAGGACATGAACAGACACTTCACCAAAGAGGATATTCAAGTGGTCAACAGACACATGAAAAAATGTTCAATATCATCGCCATCAGAGAAATGCAAATCAAAACCACAATGAGATACCACTAGATGGCTAAGAGTGAAAAAAAAAAAAAAAGAAAAAGAAACAAACAAACAAAAATAAGTATCAGAAGACATGTGGAGAAATTGGAACCCTCATCCATTGCTGGTAAGAATGCAAAATGATATAGCTTTTGGGGAAAACAGTCTAACAGTTCCTCAAGAAAGTAGAGGTAGAACTTCCACATGATCCATTGATTCCCCTTAGGTGTGCATCTTAGGTATCTAATAGAAGTGCCATGAATAGATACATGCACACTTAGCTTCCAGCAATCGCCTTCCATCTGGTTCTATTGTCTCTTTACATCCTATTCTCAAAAGAGCAACTGAAACTATTCTGAAACATAAATCACACCCTGTAACACTCCTGTTCAAAAATGTCCAGTGTCTTCTGTTATTTATAAGTAAAGCCATAATATCTATGATGGTCAACAAGGCCTTTTATAATTTACTTTGTTGTTGTTGTTATGTGCCGTCAAGTCGGCCCCGACTCATAGCGACTCATAGCGACCCCTCCTTGGGTTTCCGAGGCAGTATCACTACGGAAGTAGGATTGCCCAACCTTCCTTCCGAGGAGTGGCTGATGGGTTTGAACCGCCAGCCTTCTGGTTAGCAGTCAAGTGCTTTAGCCACTATGCTACCAGAGCTCCTATAATTTACTTTATTACCCAGTATTTATTTCTTACTTACCTACTGACCTATTTTTTATATTATTTCTTTTGTATGTCAGGTACATTTCCTGCAGGCCTTTCTGCTTGCTGTTCCCTCTGCCTGAAACACTATTATTACCCCAGTTTTCTGCATGGTTCACTCGTAACTCTTTCAGGTTTTTGCTCTAAAGTCATTTATCACTAAGGACTTTATTACAATATTATTGAAAATAGTATTATTTGATTTTTTCATTAGTACCACCTTCTAAATTTTTATATAATGTAATAATTTATTTTGTTTACTGGCTGTCCTTGTAGGACTTTTTGCTTATTTTTCATTGTTTTATTGCAGATGCCTAAATTGTACCTGGCCATAAGGGATGCAATACCAGTATTGGTTGAATTAATACTTGTTTCATCAGAAAGAATGGCATATTTGGAGTAAAGAGATACCTGTTCAAGTCTAGTGCTAAGGGTTAAAGACCTTATCTTTTTTGCTTACCAACATATCTTTATCATCTTGTACAGTGGTTGGCATCTAAACCAAACCCACTGCCACTGAGTTGATTCCAACTCATATCAACCCTATAGGACAGAGTAGAACTGCCCCATGGGGTTTTCGAGGGTATAAATCTTCATGGAAGCAAACTGACTCATCTTTTTCCCATGGACCAGCTGGTGGGAACTACCAGCCTCTTGGTTAGTAGCCTTAGCCATTGCCCCAATAGAACTCCTGTTGCTTGGCACATAGTAGCTGCTTAATTGGAAAAAAAAAAAAAAAAGTGAATGCCTGACTTATAGATAAGCCCACAATAGATATCTCTTCTGAAGAATCACACTCAAGACCTTATTAGAATTGTATTTGTTTTTTCCTTGTGTAGCCAGAATATAATTAATAAGAAACATCTGAATCAGTTAAGAACATATAATCGTTCATATGTAATGCATATTTCTTCCTTTCTTATAGCAAAGATACATGAGCAAGCATACCACAAAAAGTTTAATAAAGTTTGCATAGTGATACAGAAACATAACCAGATACTGTAGGAAATATCAAATAGCTCGAAGAGATTACACAGTCATACCTCACATTCCAAACCTGTTGTTGTTGTTAGCATGTCCAGCAGAGTGAAGTCTAATGGACCTGTCAGAAATGAAGACGTTATCTCCATTAGTAACATGATAGCAATCATATATAGAATTTATGTGTGATGGAAACTGTGCTCAAAAATTGTGCCCAGATTACATCGATTGTTCCTCAAAAGTATCTTATGAAATAGATACTAATACTATTGCCATTTTACAGGAAAGGATACTAAAGTGTTGAGAAGTGCAACACAGTGAATTATTTAGTATGGCTGTTCTAGCCATGGTCTTTGTGATTCCTACCAACGACTGGGTAAAACCATGCAAATGTGAGGTGCTTTGTGGCCTACCAAGGGGACTGGATAGTTTGGTAGTAATGTAAATATGGTAAATAGCTTCCATACATAAGGTGTATGGAACCCTTCTGTAGGAAGTGGTCAGTTTTGTCATTCTGCTGGGCTTAAAAGGAGCCCTCCTAGAGGCAGAAAGGGAAGAATCTCACTGCCATAAAACAAGAGAAGACAAGAGTGGGGCTTGTTCTTGACCCTGAGATCCCTGCACTGAGATGATGGCAAAGACAATGGCAGAAAGATGGTGGCAGTAGCAGCAATACAACCAGCTCTGTCTTGAGACAGAGCTGCCAGCTTGCTGGCCCATGAGTGGAGCAAGAACACTGAGTGCATGTGGGCAGGATGCTTGCTGGCAGAGTGGGGTGCACCTAGGTGCACCTATCAGGAGACATAGAAGAGCTTTGTAATACTTTTCTAAGCAGAGCAGAGGTCAGGTTGAGAGGCCAAGAGCCAGAGAGAGGCATGCCTGTGGGGACAGGCCAACGGGAGGGTGTCCTGATGGAAGAATTGTATCCTGAGTATTCCTGAACTTGAATTGTAACTGGTTACTTCCCTAATAAACCCCATAATTGTAAATATTGTCTGTGAGTTCTGTGTGGCCATTGCAACAAATTATCAAACTCAGCACAAAAGTAGAGAGCACCATGGGTGGGAAGGTTGTCAGAATTAGAGGAAAGGTTGGAGGGTGGTAGCATATCTGGTCTCATAGGAATAAGCCTTGGGCTGCTGATGGAGATTCTCTCTCCCCCTCATGAAGTTAGAGGAGGTCAGAGGACGCTGCCCCCATGTCATTTTTGTAAGAAGTAAGGTAGGTAAATGGCAGAGGTAGAATTTGAACTTGGTATTCTGATTCCAGAACCCTGACTTTGAGCCACCATTTTTTAACAGTGAAAACTTTATGAATAGCAGTGAAACAGTGTCTGATATATTACCATTCTTTAAACATCTTCATTATTCTGTTATTAAAACAATTCTGGGAAAAATATCAATAGTATTACTACAAACTCCTCAGGAGTTACAAATGCTAACTTTGTTGAATTTTTAAAATAAGTGAGGGTGATTTCTTTTCTTTGGTGAATCTTTAGAATGTGTTGTTTAGAACAATACTAAATGGCACCATGAACCACATGGAGACCCAAGTTGGTGGATGTAGTGAGGAGGTGATCCAAGAGAAAAAAGATGTGATTGAAAAACACATTTGTAAGGCACATTCCAAAGCTTTTTGTCAGTACTGGAGGTATTTCTAAAATATTCAAATTGAATAACTTTGAAGGGTCAAAATAGATGGTTGAAATTTTTACTAGCTATGATACAGTGTCATAGCATGAAGATTTATTTATTTTCTATGTTGCTGTAAATGGACTCATTATCTTATTTTCATTTTTTTGGACTGTTCATTGTTGTTGTGTGCCGTCAAGTTGGACCTGACTCATAGTGACCCCTCTTTGGGTTCCTGAGGCAGTATCACTATGGAAGTAGATTGCTCCATCTTCCTTCCAAGGAGTGGCTGATGGGTTTGAACCACCAGCCTTCTGGTTAGCAGTCAAGTGCCTTAGGCACTATGCTACCAATACATATATAGAAATATATAGTGTATAGAAATTTTTGTATATTAATCTTGTATTCTATCGCTTTGCTGAATTCATTTGTTAGTTGTAACAGGTTTTAGTGGGTTTCTCAGATATTCTATATACAAGATCATGTCTTTTGAAAATAGAAATAGTTTTATCTTCTGAATAGTCTTCTTTCTCCTGAGGGTCATGGAGTCTAACACATATACTCTGTATATGAACTGTGGCAACTCACTAATTTTAAATGTTGTGAATATTGATTTCTGGGGTGTTGGAGAACTCAAAGTAGATAGAAGTACTTAGGAAAATTAACAGTCTGTGCCTGAAGGTTAGGATGTACAATCCTTCTCACAGACGTATTCCCTCCATAGATTAAAAGATGTAGGGAAGATTCCTTAGTCTCTCCAAAAAAATGTGTGTTAAATCATTCTAAACTCACTGACGATGAAAATTCCACAAGCATAAAGAAAGTGCTCAATTTGCCAAAAATGATAATAGTAATACTTCTTCTTTCCTAGGGTTCTTATGAATATTAAATGATACAATGTATAGAAAGTTCAATGCCTGGCACATAAAAAACACTCAATAAATGGTAGCTAATATGGCATATAACAACAACAACAACAACAATAAGAATGGTAGTAATGGCTATGGTTACAGTGAGGTTGTTATTTCTGAAGATGTCAAAGAACTCATTAAAATCCTTCAATGGAACCCCATTGCCTTCAGAAAGAGTTCAATTTTCTTGCTATGGACCTCTGTGATATGGCCCATGATAATCACCTCCATCTAATCTCTTGGCACAATTCTCTTTACACACCATTCTCAAGATAGACTGACCTGCTTGAAGTCCCTGCATGTGACATGTTTTCTCTTACTTCTAGGCCTTTGTACACACTGTCCCTTCTAGCTGGAACACATTTCCTCCCTTCTTTAGTCTTCCCAACTCTTACCTCCTGTGACTCTTCTGAGAAACTAGCTCTAAAATAAGTATAATGCCCCTCCTGCATGCTACTTGTATTTACTCTTATTGTAGTATAATAGTAGACTATGGACCATTCTCTGGTAACATAGTACCTAAGGCATCTGACTGCTAACCAGAAGGTGGGTGGTTCAAACCCACCAGCCACTCCTTGGAAGGAAGATGGAGCAATCTACTTCCATAGTGATACTGCCTCAGAAACTCAAGAAGTGGTCGCTATGAGTCAGATCCGACTCCATGGCAGTGAGTTTTTTTTTTTTTTTAATGCATCATTAGCTGTTTTAGGGTAAGGACTGTGACTTGCTCAGCATGGAACCCTCCTGCCCCTCCCCTAGTGCCAGCACGGTGCCTTGCAGGCTTGATACAAAAATAAAATTTATCAAATAAATATATGAATTTATCTAAATGTTAATCCATGGAAAAGTAATACATTAAGTTTATCAATTTACTATGGACTCATTAGATCCTTATTAGGGCGGACTTACTAGATCTTTTCCTGGAGATAAGCTTCATAGTTGGCGAGAAAAAAAAGGATGTGAGCCCAGAATGCTTCCTTACAAGCATGGAACAGAAGGGAACACAGGAATGGAAATGGAGACAAAGTTCATTTGCATCAACATCTCATTTAAAGCCAACACAATTGCTGCAAAAATTTAAGAGCTGTGTTGTTAGCTGCCCTTGAATGGGCCCTGACACATGGTGACTTCATACACAATGGAACAAAATACTGCTCAGTCTAACAGGCTGCAGACCTGACAATGTTCTGCTGTGATGCACAGAATTTTCATTGTCTGATTTTCAGAATTAAATCACCGGGACTTTCCCCTTAGTCAGTCTTAGTCTGGAAACTGTTGAAATCTGTTCAGCATCATAGCAACACATATAGACAGACAGGCAGTGGATGGCAGAAATTCTGGGAAAAAATGGGAGGGAATTCCTAATAATGTATACTAACTCAAATAGAGAAAGAGATGGACCATGTACAGATGCCTTTCAGAAAATGTGGCAGGTTAAACCAGTGAACAGCTCCTTACTAAAGCAGAAGTGAATGGTGGGTTTTCTATGAGATAATAATAATAACAGTACCTGTTACATGTTTTCCAAGACTAAATTACATAATGATAATGTTAAAATTTAGCAATACCTGTAAACATGGCTTGTCCAGATGACTTACCTGGTGTTAGACCAGTAGGTGTCATTAATGCTGGTTCTGTGGGAGGTATGCCTACAAAGAAACAAAGGTTCATTTCTTGATCTGTATTTGCTTAAAGTGAAACACATAGAGTTGATATAGGAATATTTAGGTTAAAACGAAATGTTTTGGAAGAGGAAAGCAGGAGGGATGCTAGAGACAAGATTTAAATGATTTGGAGAATAATTAGGAACAAATAACTATGCAGGGGATATTAAAAAGAATCTTACAGAAGCTTATTGTCTGTCTAAAAAATCTGTTCTCTGTCTCTTGCCGTATAGAGAAATAATACTCAAGTGTGTCACTTTTTGGAACAAATGAAGAGAGGTTCACACTTACAGTCTCCTGGATAAACACATTTGAGGGTGACCTCATCAAGGATCATATTTTTAGGGCAGTAGGGCAAGCATCCTTCAACCCTTTATATGAAAAGAAAAAAGAAAAAAATTAAAGTGAAAAAGGGTTAAAATTTAAAAACCCACATTTAACATATGCAACTAAAAATTTTTCTTCCTGAAATCCTTTTATCCTCCTTGATAAGCACTGAGTGCTCCATTTCCTACCACTCCATCATACCTCATGTTATGAAATCACAAGCTAGTTGATGATAAAAGCATATTATTAATGATTAAGGCATTCTGAACATAGACATTCCAAACATATGCTTGAAGCCCACTAAAGTCATTTGAAGATGCTGAAGAATAATCTATTGGCATTTTAACCTGTATTTGTTCTACTGTTTCTTTTCATTCGCATATTCCCCCTGCTTCCAAGCAGATAGGTAGCTTCTTTTAATATTCTTGCTTTAAGGATGTTTCTAGGAGAAAAACAGCATCTTCCATGGTTCGCCCTGCCTGTTGTAAAATCCCAAATTCATTTAAAATGTATTAGAGCTCTAGAGGAAAGAAATGGAGGTGGGGCATGGTTGCAGCTCTTTGAAAAGAGAGAAGGGATTGGTAAGAGGATGTAGCTCTCACGAACAGCAATGACTGTGCCCCAATTTTTGGCAGTGCCTGGGACGAAGAAGGTTGCCTGTGTGCCTGAGGAGAACAAGTCTCAAGATTCAGGGAGGCTGGCCTTGGTAAGGATGTGCTGTCTTTGTACGTGACACAGTAGCTAAGCAAGAGTCCCAAATTTCAAGATACCATGGGCTTGGGCATTATGGGTCAAAGATAGGAGAAATCATACTGAATACATGTCCTCTGAGAGAATGAAGCCAGGAAAATGACTGAGATTAAATTTTTCTTCTAGTCCCAATAGAGCTCAGAGTCCAATTTATACTTGGTTCAAAGGAAATAAGTGCAATCCTTCATATACCAAATCAAACCCATTGCCATCAAGTTGATTCTATTTCATAGCAACCCTATAGTACATAACAGAATTGTTATCATGGGTTTCCAAGGCTAGAATCTTTACAGAAGCAGATTGCCACATCTTTCTCCCATGGAGCAGCTGGTGGTTTCAAACTTCTGAGCTTTCAGTTAGCAGCCTGGTGCTTAACTACTGCACCACCAGGGCTCCTTCCTTCATATGCAATCAGCTCTAATTCATACATACTACAGAGAACTAAGGAAAATACTGTCATGAAAAGGCTTGCTTGCAAGTCTCTCAAATACCCTAGCAGGTTGTCACAATGTTTTAGTATATTAAAACATTTCCAATTGTCTAATTTTTAAAGTAAAGAAATTAAACCAAAAATGTTTAAGGTTTTTTTCCATTCAGGATGGAAATGAATTATCCTGATAGTAGGTATAAGTGCTGCCACCAGGTGGCACTTGAATCATGGAACGAAATACATACACTTCAAAAACCAAGAAAGGCTAATTTCTCTCTTAACACGAGATACATTTAGCCATCTCTTTGTCACTTCTTTCAGATTTTGTTTTTAACATAAATAGTGCGACTTATATGGTCAATATTTGTTTCATAAAATGAATTTTAATAACTGAAGTATAAACAATCTGTGATATTATTATTCTATTCTAAACTTTATCAAGCAGAAGAAAAAAATAAAAATTAGTTTCTAGATAGCTGAAAACACCAAGGGTAGTCAGTTACCATTAAATTAAGTCAATAGTACTTTTTATGCAAATCAAATATTTTGCAATTATTTTATGCAAGTCAAAACCAGACTCATTCCTCCTACATTATTTTCAAAAAGTAATTCACTTATTTCCTTTTTAAATGCCTTTGCTTGTAGTAGCACAGAACATGTTCCTTTCTTTCTCTCTTTCTTTTTTTTTAAATATATCACTGCTAATCTACACAACCTCTAATGATAAATCTAAAGTCTCTGACAAAGAAAAGTTCTTATAACAGTTGCACTATGTGATAGGAATAATTTTATTTACATGCGCTGTCTATATTATGCTAGTTGATACTATTTCTCATAAAAATTCTCATCTTCACTAGAGGTTTATATCTTTAACAATGCTGTTGTCGCTGTGGAGTCAATTCTGATTAACGATGACCCTATAAGTACACAGTATAACTTCTCCATAGGGTTTTCAAAGCTGTAACTTTTCAGAAGAAGATCATCATGCCTGTTTTATGAGGTACATCTGAGTGGCTTCAAACCACCAACTTTTTAGCTAACAGTTGAACAATTAACTGTTGGTGCCACCCAAAGACTCTGTTTTTCAACATTTGTTGTTGTTATGTGCCGTCGAGTCGGCCCCGACTCATAGCGCCCCCTCCTTGGGTTTCCGAGGCAGTATCACTACGGAAGTAGGATTGCCCAACCTTCCTTCTGAGGAGTGGCTGGTGGGTTTGAACCG